TTAAACCCCTACCCTTCTTCCTTTCTGTACCCTGTTTAAACCCCTACCCTTCTTCCTTTCTGTACCCTGTTCAAACCCCTTCCCTTCTTCCTTTCTGATCCCTGTTAAATAATATATTTCATTTTGTTAATTTTCAATTTGGTGCAAGGTTTTCATTCCCCCTGCCTTCCTTATTTACCTCTCTATCTGGGAAACTGAGGGATAAGGGAGGTGGGACACAGTTCTGCCTTCTAACCGGGACAGAACACCAAACAAGGAAAATGAACACAGGAACATTACAAACAGATCACTGCATCAGTCAGCCTTTATTGAGCAGTTGCTAGTCTACTTCATTTCCATTCTAAATCCATATTCAGCAGCTTATGCTCTACAGGATTAGGATTTCCAGCTTGTGTCCATGAATGGCAGATGGTGAATGTTGACTGGAAGTTTTTTTTTCATAAAACACTGTTCAGATAACAAGTTGTGGAATGGACTTTCAAAAATTATTAGTCTATAGAAAAGGAGTCTAATAGTCTCATCTTGAAAGAAGTCCTAGTAGTTTTGCAAGAAAACAAGTAAACAAATCTCTTTGTCATTGGGGCTCCCAACAGCACCTCCTCAGTCTGATTAACAGCTCTGAATTCTGACTGTCACCACCAGATCTTAAATTTAGTCAGATCTTTAAATGCAGTGGGGCATGTCATACCACTCACTCACAACTACGTTTTGCAAGTTGTTTGCCAACTGCCTCTTTTAGCTTTACAAGTATTTTCACTAAAGAGAATTAAGGTAAGAGTTAACCCCATAACTTCATTAAACAAATCATACAAGCTCATGCTTCTGTAAAGTCACTCCTTGCTTGTTCTTGTGCACAATCTGTTGGCAATGGGATTTTAGTCATCCTATTATGGCCCATAGGGAAGTGCTGGTGCAGTGCTTTTATGTGAAGTTCCCTCCTCCCAGCTAGCAAAACAAGTGGCACAAACTAATGTAAGTTAGAGCATGACTTGTTGCAAAGGGGAAATAATATCTGCTGTCAGAAGAGCCCAAATTGCCAACTAATTCTAACTGGAAGCAATGGCCACACTGACTACAGGCCATCCCACTGCACAACACTACTTATGTTCCTTGCCCAGTTAGTGAGATTACTTTCTACTAGAATGCTCTCCTTGTCAACAGTGTAGTAGTACCTCTGTCTTTTAAGGCATCTGCCTGTTCTTAAGTCTCCACATAGATTTGGAATTCCACCCTACTCAGGTATTTTTAGGACTTACCCATCTTCAAGCCACCTGGTGCTCTCACCTCTGAAGAAGAAATTCAGCTCTTAATTGAAAGAGAATTTCTCTCCACAGTGTAGCAGCTCAAATAAGAAGAAATGCTTCACAGTAATTGTATTTTCTCCCAGGTAGACACTCAACATGCTAAGAAAAGCCTGGAAGACTAACTTTGCTCAACTTGCAAACCCTTTTGCATTTTCCATCTGCAGACTCTGAGCATTTTAAATCTACAGCATCTGAAGCATTGAAACAATGAACAGGTCTCAGAATCAGCAGTTACTGCAAACACAGCCCTGCCAGCATCACACAGAGCCTTTCCACAAGCAGATTACAGCCAGGCATTCACAGGATGTCCCTGGGGAAACACAGGCTACTCCTTTAGCTGTTTCCTCTCTATAAGGCAAGTTCAGTCATGAGAACAGTCTGCTCCCAAACTTTTAGGCTACCTGCTCTGAAGGAACACTTGGAAACTACTGGAAAACACATCTGAAAGACTTTCTGGAGCTGAAATAGAGAACTGCTGACCAAATCTTCTACCCTTCTCCTCCAGTCAGAAGAACCTGCTTACCTTCCATGCCAATAAGAAGCAAGTTAGAAGTCAGCTGACCCCAGCCACGTTTCCCTTGCTGTTTGTTAATCCAGTTCCAGTTGAAACCAAGGAAATCCACCACAATCTTCCTTCCAACTGTGTCATTCAGGGTTTGTTGCAGATATAGCCTGAATTTTCCCAGAGAAAAGCAGAAATCAGTTATTAAGCTTTGTTACAAAGACCTATCTCTACATCTCTTCAGAAAGGTTTCAAAACAAAAAAACTTAACTCTTAGAGATTGTTTTATCACCACACACCATAAACACTTTTGGAAGGAAACAGTTTCAAGAAATCCCCAAACTTTGCTGAGAGATTTCCTCATAGAGAAGGGATGAGAACTCAGTTCCACTTGAACAATCACAATGGGAAAAAGAGTGGGAGGAAGAAACTGTGAACAGACTGGCCACTGTCAAACATCAACCACACTCATGAATAATCCCCAGACAAATGCCACCACTCTAACTCATCTGTATAAGAGTCATCTCTTCTAGACCAGTGTGTGAGGGCAAAAAAAGGCTCAGGGAACCCTGCAGATTTCAGGATCAAATTAAAGTCACACTTACTTTTAGACATAGAGGATCAGAGAACTCAAACACCTGTATTAGCAATCACAGTATTACAGCCTGCTGTCTGCAATGCTGGGAGAAAAGTGTTTTTTTAAGCTCAAGGATTGCCTTTTCTCTCAGCAAGCACACACCTGAATCTCAGAAAGAAAAGCACAGATCACAAGTGGGCAAGGACACCAAGTTGCTTCCACAAGAGACAACTGAACATCTGTAAGTCCTTTTAGAGGGCTGGCAACTGATGAATTCACTGAGGGGTCAGGGACAGTTGCTAATATTATACAGAACATATTCTGTATAAAGGTGAAGCTCCTCTGAGTAACTTAAAACCATGTCAGTGGTGGAGGCCATCACCCCCAACAAATACACAGCAGGTATGCAACCCTTCCCCCTCATCCTGCAAGAGGGTTACCCCCAGCTGCCCCAGTGTTCTCTAAAAAAGGCTGAGTGCCACAGCCTGTACCTTTCCATGGGGTAACGAAGCTCCTCCACCAATACCAGAGCTGCCAGAAGAAAGTAAAGCTTAAGGCTTTCTCTAGCCTAAACCTACCTCAGACAGAGAAGGAAAAAAAGTTTTAAAATCTCTGCAGACAATGGGAACAGTTTGATTAACTAATGACTTTTCAAACTGGGTAACAAGGCTGCTGTCAACCAGCAGCCCTGCAAGAAAAGCAGGACTATAAAAAAAAAAAAAAACATTAAAAGTGTGAAAGGTTTTAATCATCAACCCTCACTGAGGAGAAATTCACCCCCCACTTAGCCCTGGAGAAACACAGAAACCTCCACCTATCACTTACCTCTCGGCACTCCCTTTTTGTTGTATTTCTTTGAGTCTGTCCACAAACTCAGTAAACTTCATCTCTTCCCTGCTCGATTTGGGTTTGAAGTTCTTAAAATTGGCCATCTTCTTCTCGTCGTAGTACAAGAACTTGTGTGTGCTTGCACTGTACACTGAGAAGTCCCCATTGCCAATGTTTTCCTGGAGGTAGTCCAGGTCCCATTTCAGAGCAGGATAAACCAGATTGGTGTCTGTCAGCACCACGGGCTCCTGGAGAGAAACAGGAAGTTTATAGATTCGGGGACCTCTTGAACCTGGGCACGATCACGTTTGCTACTGCACCCACACAAACTCTCTTTGAAAATGGGGATTTGGAGCCAGCATTAGAGCCACCTTGGTCTAGGGAGAAAAACAAGCAAAGCATGATAGGCAGCATGCTCCTGTTAGCAACGGGAGCGAGTCCACTCTCTGCTCAGCTGACCTCTGACACAGGAGGGTAGACAAACACTAGCTGGGAACAGTTCTAGGCCTAACTTGGTCATGCCACGTAGCAAGGAAACACAGTACACTCTGGTCTGGTCACTTCCAGCCTCAGCTATGGAGCAGTAAATGCTAGCAGAAAGATAACTCTGAAGGCAGAAACAGAGACAGCACTCATCTCTTTCCTCAGAGGATCACAGATAACTTTAAGCCATCAAAAAACATGACATTACCACATCTCTTCTACACTGTAAGAAGAACCACAATAAGAAGAAGACAAAGGGCATCACCTACCCCCTCACCTACCAATAGGGAATAACCTAAGTGTGAATGACAGCTGCTGTATTACCAAGCCATGCATGCACCACCTCTCTTCTTGCAGGCCTTCTTTAAAAACATCAACCAGCAGTCTCAACAGAGCAGGACTGAGCTTGTCCAGAACCAATACAAGAGCTGCTGTAGCAAGACAACCTTCCCACGTGTGGTCACTCTCACTGAGAAAATAACAAATACGTACCCGTGTTGTTTTACACAACGTTTCCCCCATTCCAACCCAGAAAACAAAACACTCCAACCAAATGCTTCCTGCCAATCCCACAACTCCACACACTTCTTGGGTACCGAAAAGAAGCACTCGCTACCAACGACGAGGAACGGGACGGGGGCCACAGCCGAGCCCGCGCGGGGAGGGGCCCGGCGAGCGCTCCGCGGAAG